TGCCTCTGAGATCTATGACGCCAAGACTGGCAAGTATGACCTCGACTTCAAGAACCCCGAGCCTCATGCCGATGCCGAGTTGACCGGTGATGAGTTTATCAAGTACCAGGAGGATCTTATGAACAAGTATCCTTTCGTCTTCATTGAGGATCCCTTCGATGAGAACGATTGGGCGACCTTCGCCAAGTTCACCGCCAAGGACGGTAAGGAGATCCAGATTGTCGGTGATGATCTTCTTGTTACCAACCCCAAGCGTATCCAAAAGGGTATCAACGAGAAGTCTGTGAACGCCCTTCTTCTCAAGGTTAACCAGATAGGTTCAATCACCGAGTCTATCGAGGCCAACAATATGGCCGTTAACGCCGGGTGGACCGTCATGGTTTCCCATCGTTCCGGTGAGACTGAGGATACCTTCATCGCCGATCTTGTCACTGGTCTTGGCACTTGCCAAATCAAGACTGGTGCCCCCTGCCGTACTGAGCGTCTTTGCAAGTACAATCAGCTTATGCGTATTGAGGAGGAGCTCGGTGATAAGGCTACCTATGCTGCGGGCCGCAATTTCCCTCGTTGCCAGTAAATAACATTCATTTGTTACTGTCGTTATTACTACTGCGGTGACGAGTTGGTAGGATGTAGTAGATCACGGTGCTGCTTTATTCAGCGGTAGTCCAATACTTTTCCTTCCTCGTTACGACTGTTCTACACAACAATAATCAACATAGTGGATTTCGTGTGATAACGAAGACCGTTCAAGGATTGTGTTACCAGTAGATATTATATAATCATGCGAGGAATTCTTCGGAACTTCTCTCCCTACGGACGCCTCGTTTGAAGTGCGCCATTTCATACACAGATATACTGCAGCAGTGGAACGGTCTCACACTCCGTTCCAATGAGAGCCCTTCAGTGTCTCTCCCATTAATGGTATGTCACAATGAAATTTTGATGCCATACTCCACCAATGATTCGTGTGGTAGCGGCAGGTAGTTTTCGAGATACAATTTGGTCAAAGTCAGTCTATTGCTCCCTTGGATTCAAGGGCCGTATCATAAACCATCTTCCTATCCTCTAGCACCTAGCCCAAATATTTCAGCATTATTGTTTCGGACGATTTGATAAGATAGTGGTGACGTTCCTGTCGCTGATTAAGCCGCTGAAATCAGCCGACTATCGAACGAAAAACTGTGAACAGACTGGACGAGAAACTATAAACTCTCCAATGCTGATAATTCGAATCGATCACTCAGTGTTGTCGACGACACAACCGACAGAAGAGTTCTCTTGGCTGTAGATGCTGAAAAGGAACAATAGCAAACGCCAGTTGTACTGACGGCTGACCTTCCGCTGCCGACTTGAAGTTGTATAAAACGCTCAAGTTCGCCAGAGTATCCATCGTGGCGGTTTCTCTTCGAACCGTCTCCTCGAGGATCTGTTGCATAATGTGCAATGGCGATTCAGCATTGTAACCTCACCGTAGTGGCACGGGCTATATTGCCGAGATAAAACTGTAGACATGCCTCCATATTAGGCGACGGTAGGAGGCTGCTGGTCCGGAGGGATTCGAGGGCTGTCGGGAAACTGAGAGGCCAATGGTAGGAACCGATAAGGACTGAGCAAAGCTACTCCTCTTCAGCGAGCGCTATCAACGCCTTCACACGAGCTGCTGCTTCGGCCGATCGGATTTCCGCGAGAACGTCCTCTGCCTCAGGAAGGGCTACGCCGAATCAATAATCACATCACGCGATGCAGAATACCCACCTCCAATTCGCAACAGCAGACCGGCGAGCTCCACCAAGAGCCCATCATGGTCCTCATCCCTCGGCAACAAACACGAGCGGTATAGTCGAATTACCTGCGAGAAGCTCCACCAAGCAGCGCAGTAAAAGCAAACCTCATCCAAGTCGCCCAACTCTACCATCAGCACCGCCTCGGACTTGAGAACGACCACCTCCTGCCACGATGAGGCCGTAGGAATTCTCCGAAGCTGCTCAGCCGCCTCAGTGAGAGCCTCTACGCTCGGCCGTGTAGCGCTACAACATGGTAATAGAACCGAGTACCTAATACAGACGCAGGTGATGACGTAGCAGATTGGAGGAAGTTTCGCTGGGCTGCGCTGTCGAGTTCGCCCACCAGACGAGTCCGAAGTTTGAAATGGTCGTGAAACATCATCGGCAGGAGAGCCCAACTGGTTTCATTTGAATCTCCTTTTACGACTAATGCCGCCCTCCCATTACAAAGACATCCAGAATGTGCCAACATCCTCACCAGCGACCACCACCATGTCCTGCTTCCCAACAAGCAGCTCCTCTTCCGCCTACCATCACTATTGACCCACAGCCACACCTACGACTTACTCGCGACCACTCCGATAACATCATCAACGAATACACCTTCACTGCCCTCCACAGATGCACTTCTTTGCAGGCTGGCGACTCCTAAAACCCATCCCGACGTTCAAGCCTCCTCATTCCTAAACATGTTACCTTCAAGCTCGTCTCCGCCATTTTGACCACCGTTTTGAATCTCCCTTGGCTCAAAGCCACCGCAGCACCTTCCAACGTAGCGGACGGCATTTCTTGTGAATCTCCTCCGAGATCAGCCCTGAAACATTTACTGGCCACCCTTCTCACTCGATGTTAGCAATGTTTATCGATCAGTTCATCCTACTATGGGCAGGATGAGAAGACCCTATCAGTAAGCTACTCCTCAACTATGACCATGATGACGTATATGTTGAGTTCATAGCGCCACTATCGACTCCGGGTGTATTACCCTCCCATGAACTCCTCCACATTGCGATACGTCCGAGTAGCGGCGGACGGCCGACCTTCTGCTGAGCTCCCTGGCGACTCATCGTGGAGAGATGACGTGCCACAAGAAGGAGGCATCACCTGATCTCGGCAAAGAGTGGTATAACAATCCAAAGCCCGTCTCTGCACTAACATCTGAGCCTCCCGACGACGCCAGCTGGAATGGGTTCTTCAGAGGCTCCCGACCACCTCCACCACTGCGCTGCCCTGCAATTGATAATCGATCCACAGACATACTACAATGACAACACTGCCTCGCAGTTCTCCTGCCCGTCTCAATTGACTTATGCCAACTACCAACTCAAAGCGGAAAGGACGTCCATTTGATAATAGTATCGAGGCTGGATGGGAGAGCACCGTGGACAACTTCTACTGGGCAGAACCATCGCGAGCCGTCACCAAGTATAGCAAAGAATGCAACAATATTCATATAATACAAATGGACTACAACCACTATCAAGGAGGAGATGAAGGAGAGCTAGGTATGATACACCCGCATCGAGACAAGTAGCAACGAATTTTTGGACGGCGGAGCGAAGCAAATACTACGTTAGGATGATTATCAATCCAAAGAAATCATCCAACACACACAATCATGCCAGAATTCGATATTCATACCACACTCATCAGAACACCTCTCAAAACAGAGCAAGCCCCTGCCTAGGTCATCAGCTCCATCACCAAACCATCAGAATCTTGATCTCTTGCAATTCCTCAACGCTCCACCACTTCCCTTCGAAACTGCTCGTGATGAAGGATATTCAGACGGCGGCGTATTCGTCCTGGCCGCTTTTCGACTAGGAGACTCCGGAAGGTCCAAATCAAGTTGGGCTAATCTCACCTGAACTCGTCATTAAAACCAACAGCCACAACATCTACTCACCATGGTCTCCCACGTAAGCTGTAGGAAGCCCCCAGACTGCCCGTTACCAGAAAAGAGATTACTCTCCCAGAACGTAGTAGAGCCCGGAGCAGGAAGGGCCAGCACTTTGAAGTCTTTCGAGTCGAACTCGAGCGGTTGGCATTCCGCGAGTTCGTCTCCACTCGATGATGCTCTTGTCGACGTACTGCTACTGCTAGAATTGCTGTTGTGGTCACCCGTAAGAGAGGACACCATCGACACCGCAAATACCCGAACCTAAGCAGCTCATTTCCGAGCAATTTCAAGTGTATACCGCCACTAACCATTCGCGAGCCTATGCCGAGGCGTCGTCGCTGAGGATCAACCCACGTGTCTCGGATCATGATCTCACTGGGGGAGTTGCTACTAAACCTACCGCCGAACGAAATGTTCCGAGCCACCCAGAATCGACAAGCACCGACCACATGAATCCAGACACTCGCATGTCCTTAGTCATCGAGACACTGCTGCCGTCGAATATGACTACCACCCTATGGTCGGGGTCCGACCGAGAGCCCTCATCTCGGCGCATCATGGTCAACATTCTCGTCCCTACTCCCACACAC